CTAGATAGGACAGATGAGTCAAACATGGGACAATCATTTTGTATAACATGCCGTAGATAGGACAGATGAGTCAAATATGGGACAATCATTTTGTATAACATGACATTGAATATTTTACATGTTATATCGATTACTTAAAATGTTGTTTATTGTAAATTGTGTTTTTCGATGGGTTATTTCAAATGAAATTAAAGGTATACATATTTAGAAGTATGTGTATATTTAAATAAAAGTGTGTGTGTGTGTGTTTGAGTGTGTTCATTTATGTAACCTATCTTTTTTTAACCTTAATTTTATCTTTTCTGATTAAAAATTCTTTACCAAGATTAATATCACTCATTCTTTTGTGGATTATGCAGTTTGAGCCCCAACTCTTAAAAACGTTTCTAGCACATCACAGGGTTTGCCCCAAGTGGACATCGCAATTAAAAACAAAAAACAAAAACAAAAACAAATCATGAACAAAAGAAAGTTTCCGTGTTATCGTGGCACTCAACAATCAGGGCTTTCAGCGGCCAGGTTACTGTTTCGATAGATATGATCCCATCTTTCAGTTGCGTCTCTTCGTAGTTAGCTTGGTGCCACGCAGCGGTCGGTTCACATCTGCGCAATGAGGCTTTGTTCAACTCGCGCTAGTTTCCACCTGTTGTTGCTCTTACTCATTCGCGGCGTGGACGTCGCCTACTTTTTCCCAGAATGGCGTCCATCATTGTTGATTCAAGCGATCTCTTTCCACACATTCCCGAGAGAAATATGTGAGCCGGTGAAGACCACAAGTGTCGCAAAGATCTTTCTCTCCCCGTTTGACCATAGCGCACTTGTTACATGGCAACCTCTTGAAGCTCTCTATCGGATTTCGTTCTGTTTCCCACAGGGCTCTGAAATCTCCTCTGATGGAGATAAACACCCCGCAGCCCCTCCCCCCTTGCCCCCACACACACACACACCTCCATGAACCATTTCCAAATCGCTTAAGATTAACCGATACAAGACCAAGTTTAATCAAGTAATTAATTTCGTAAAGTTTCTGTAAGGTGTAGACTATGTAAGTATTGTTTCTCTCTAACAAAATGTGTATGCCTCATTCAATTTCTTTTTTGCCAATGTAATCAAAAATCAGTCACATTGTACATTTCAGTTAAATTGTAAATAACGATGTCGTAAGAATCTATCACTCACTATTCACTTTGTCACTATCAACGACACAGCAAATAACAGTCAAGTTCAAAATTTCTGTTACTTAATAACTATGAATAGAATAAAGTAAAATTCTACGTTTTTATTATCTGTATTTTTCTCCGTCTCTACCGGTGAGGCATCTGGTGTGTGTTTAACAAAGGGGGGAATGTCTATATTAAGATATCCGTCCTGCTTCCAGTGGAATTTGTTTTTTTCCTATTTTATATACTTTAACAATTTTACTGAAAATCTCCGCTTGATATTAACTTCCTCTAACCTCCTCAACTAGCAGGCTTGCCAACACCAGCGAGGTTAAAGCAGGAACACACAAATGGAGTGTCCTACTAAAGATCATAAGGGTTAAGGTTCATATTACAAACACTCGATCAGGTCACATGACACCAGTAGACTCACCGTAAATTATAACATGTTGGCCAATTGGACTCTGATTCTGGGCAGTTTCTTGTGTAGGCTTCACCGAACCATGGATGTGTTGCGTTCTTTAAGGTTCTCAATAACTTTGCTTTGCCTAGAGGATAATGTATTGAGATGCTAATATTTCAAACAATGGCCGCCAACTTGAACGCGGTATGGGTTCAAGGGTCGCAGAAACCAAAATGGCGGTCATGGAAAAATAAAATGACTGTTTAAACGTGCCCTGGTAATATTAATGAAAATCTAACTCTTTTAACAAAAAAAATATAAAAAATAATGGGAGTGAATCCAAAACAGCCATTTAACAAAATACGTAAATGTCGTCATGGCGACATCTCTAAGCATTGAGCCAAATGGTAAATGAAATTTTCTTTTAATTTCTGACTAATCCTTAATTGTTTAGCTAGATTTTACTTTAATAGGCCTAAAAAGTTGCAAGAGCTTAACACGATATGATATGCCAACTTGCCAGCTGTTACGGAAATAACTGAAACGGAAGTGCACAGCAAAAGTAAGTAGATTGACCTTCTGAGTACATTATCCCCTCGTACCCCATTCATCGTAAGTAACTGCTTTTTTTGGCCTTCGAATTAGTAAGATTTTAATGCCTAAAGAGAACTTTTACTTTTTTTTAAAGATGGCATTGTTATGACACATATTTTTTTTTAGGCGTTACAGAACGAAGAATTAAATGGTGCAATCAAATAATGTGGTGCGCAATACGTACGCTAATAATTCAATTACTGCCCGAAAGAACGTAAACTTCATAATGAGAATTTATGATTGAAAAGATCGTTTAGCTGGACATTTATTTTATGCTATTAACGAGTGGTGCCTGCCTGACCATGTCTAATTTAAAACATTTAGACCCGACCAAGTCTCACTAAAACATGTTATTGTTCCTCAGTCGGGAGTCAACCATGACCAACTTAATCACCAGAGTTTGTGCTAGTTCTGTTTGTGGGCTCGCAGATGGCTAATGAGACCGATTCTGGCACGAAATTCCCTTGTGCAGTAGGTGCAGGGGAATGATGGCGCATCTCCGGGAGCAGAGTCAGACCGGGCCTTCCTGGCATGTCTCCTGCACTCTGCCAACTTCATGTTGCATGGAGCTCTTGTGTAAACTGGAAAGTCATGGGGTTGGATCATTTGCCTGTTCCTCCCACGTGTCTGGGTTTATGTTGAACGCTTTCAGTGAGTCTTTTAGGTTGTCTTTAAAGCCATTTTTTGTGCTTGCAAGCAGACCACTTTCCTTGTTCAAGCTCACCATATAATTTTTTTTTTTGGGCAGACGGCCATCTGGCATTCTCACAACATGTCCCGCCCAGTGAAGCTGGGACTTCATTAAGATTGTGAAGATGCTGCGGAGACCTGCACGTGTGAGTACCTCAGTGTCTGGGACCCTGTCCGGTCATTTAATATTGAGGATTTTTTTTAGTCTTGTTTTTGAACCTGATTCAGCATTCTTGCAAGGCGTTGGTAGACCGTAAACACCCGCTTGATATACTTTCAGTTTAGTTTGAGTGTTGAAAACTCTCCTGGTCCATACGTTCTTAATCAATGTTCTATATGTTGCACTGGCTATCGCAATGCTCAGGTTATCCTCGTCATCGATGGTAGCGCTTTGGGACAGTGTGATGCCGAGATAAAAGCCTTTCACCACCTTTCGCCATATACTTGGATGTTGGGCTCAACATAAGGGCTACGAGGAGCTGGTTGGTATATGACCTCAGTTTTCTGTGTGTTATTGGTGAACCCGTAGTTTGTGCAGGCATTAGAAAAGCTTGTGACGCAGCGTTGCATATCCACTTCTGAGACAGCGTTAAGGGCAGAGTAATCTGCATACAGGAGTTCCCTGATGGTTTCTGTCAGCACCTTCAGTGTTTCCTTTGCCCCAGCAACCAGATATTATCTGAAATTTCTTTATAAGCAAAGTTGCTGGCATTCGCGCTGAGCTTGTTCGTCTTGATGCACCATCCCTTGATTTGCCTCCTTTTCCTTGTCTTACTTCACATTTCGATATGTTTAAACCTGTTTCTGAACTTGAGGTCAAAAGTATTATTTTAAAATCTAAACCTACGTCATGTTCTTTGGATCCCATCCCCAGCTCCCTGTTGGTTGAGTCATTAGATCATTTACTCCCAACGATAACCCTTCCAGTCGCTCTCAGAAACAGCCAGACACTGGAGTCCTTTGAAACCGATGAAAAACACATCTATTTCGCAAACACCTTCTGGGGTAATGCTATCTACCATCTTTTTCAGTTAATGTATATTGTCTTGTGTTGCTTATGGTTGAAACGGGACGAAAGACTTTGACTTGGTATGCTCGTATGTAGTTTTATATTGTTGTGTCTGTTTTTAAATGTGGTAAATTTTAGATTGTTTTTATTTCTCTTTTTAATATGGTTTGACTTTGTACCGCTCTTCGAGCTTTTGGGGATAAAGCGGGTTTTTCAAATAAACTTTATTACTATTATTATTAATAAATGAAAGCGTGTCTTCTAACACTGTCCCCCCTCTTTGTAAATCAGATGTCATCAAACCATTGCTTAAGAAGCCTTGTCAGGATGAAAGTAATTTTTAAAATTATAAACCTGTATCTAACTTATCATTTATATCTAAAATTATTGAAAATATAGTTCTAAAACAACTTTTTGCTTATTTAATTGACCACTCTCTTCTCAGTTCTAATCAGTCGGCCTATAGACATTTCCACAGCACAGAGACGGCTCTCTTGAGAGTGCCCAATGATCTCTTGTTCGCATTGGACAGCATTGTACAACCATCTGGGCTGAATGTACAACCATGCTAATAGGCCAATCATTACAATCACTGACTTTACGCGTTATAACGAATGTGAGTGGCTCGAGTACATTTTGTTGCTTAGGGCATTACTAAATATATTTTAAAGAAATAATTATTACGCGCATGTTCACGTTTATGCTGAAACTTAATTTTAAGTATCAATTTTTTGTATAATGTAAAAATTTCACGGAATAGAAGATGTTATCTCACTCTTTAAACAATTAAAAAAAAATTAAAATGATCAGTTTACTTGTAATGATAGTTTAAATAATATTCTACCATTTTTATAAAGAAATGAAGGCAGTCTCGAAAGTTGTATGTAACGAACTATTTAATTTAACGTTTACATAAAAATGTGTATATGTATATTTTAGGGAAAAAGCTTCTTCTTGAAGAGTATACTTTCACTTTTCATTTACAAAAATAAAATCATACAAACAATGTTTCTTTTTACTAAATTTATCCATTGCTATACATAAATTAATATTATTTTAAAGTAGTGTTATAACGGTATTTTTTTCAAATGAGTTAAATCCACTGTTATATTTCCTCTGTCATGCGATATATATATATATATATATATATATATTTATATATAAAAGACTTCATTTTCTTAAAAACAAATAATATTTATTTTTAATGTATTGCAACACCATTTCTTTCATCAATATAAGCACCCATCGTATTACATACAAAATATTACTCCTTTATAAAATTTCTTTCCAAATGTAATATTAAAATTTAAAAAAAAGAGCAGATTTCAATTACTTGACATAATACAAAATGCTACACTCCAAACCAGAATGTATCGTGTTGTTTCAAACACCGTACGTTTTGTTAACAGCAATAAATTAATTCTTTGTAGAAAATTTTAATAATCCTGTTAAAATTTTAGATTAAAAAAATCAATTTTATTATGCAATGATCATAGATTAACTCTTTACATTTAAACACTTTTAAAAAAGAAACAAGTACAATGTTTGCGTATTTGGTATTTATTTGACATTATGCTTCTGTATTTTATCGACACAAAATTTTTTTTCAACTACTTCATCGACAACTATGTTTTATTTGTAACCAAATGGACGTCGAATTGGGGAAAACAAAGATTCGTAAAAATACTTGATGTCCATTAGCATGGCTTGAAAACATTACGGTAAGTTCAGTGGCACAGCTAATGTAAGTGCCACACGGGGTAGTTCAAAGAGTTTCATAGCTGCCATTACACGACCAAAAAAACTTCTGAAGATGTCAACTCTCACTATAAGGAAAAATCCTTATGCCCGCGGCGTACTGCCCCCTACCCCTCTTTCCGCACAACCCTTATTTTGTCACTGAGTCCATTGATTGTACGGTGTGTTTTGTGTTGTGTTAATCTTTGTTCAAGATCTGCATATGTTTTATTATGTACATATATTCATTCATGATGTGCATAGCTTCATTCATGATGTACATATCTTCATTCGTGATGTGCATATTTTAATTTTATGATAGGCATATTTTTTAACTTCCATAATGACCAATAGATGACATAAAAGAGTTTAGAACAGAAAATTAGGTCTACATTTTAAAAAAATACAGCAACATTCATTAACAAATGTGTTTTTACTGAAAACATTTATGTCATTTAGTCCTTATCTTATCCACACGTTTCATGAGCTTGCTACCAAAAGCGTGACGTGGTCAATCTGTTTGATCAGAAATCTCGTCGTCTTCATAATCACGTGATCTACCCGAACTGTTGGCGTAGTGATTCTCAAGCTCAAAGTACGTGTTTTCTTGCGAACTCGGCTCAACAACCGGGACACTTTGAGCTAGCGAGTACACATCGCTACTGCTGGCCTCACCAAGTGCCGGGTCTCTTCCGGACGCCTGTTGTCTCATGGGTCGCTTTAAATTGTTGTAGGCTCCATCCGTCTCATCCTGGTCGCTGTAGTTCCGGACATGCTGCGCCGGTTTGTTGCCTTTCTGGCCGTTGGCGTACAGCGCGTCACCCCGCTTTTCTGCCTGCACGTTTTCTTTCGAATGATCGGAGAGGTCGGGTAGGCTGTACGCTGGGGTGATCTCCGTGAGATCATCGTCTTCACTCGACTTCTGCAAACTGTCATAAGTGTTACGTTCTCGCTGTTCAGATTTCCCCAAAGTAGCATAGCTGCTCTTCTTGTTCGTGTCGACACTGTCCGAGCCGCGATCACTACCAGATGTTTTTTCCTTCTTGATATCATTGGCGGAGCTTGAATGCTTGACATCTCCAGTTTTTACTTCGATCTCATTTTGACTTCCGCTAGCTCCGGGATCTGATTTCACTTTGACATTGGCATTGCCGCTTGAAACTCTATTGGAAGTTCCATTCGCTGCGATGTTCGAATACTCATTTCCCGCTCTAGACGAAGAGCTGGCTGAAACAGCACTTTGCCGTTTGCTAGCCTCTGACAACTTGATATTTGCGTAGGCGATACCGGAAATGTCATCATTTTCAGGGACACGAAGCTCATCACTGGGGTCCTCTTCACGGTGGAACAGAACAGACGATCTCACTTCAGATGGTTTACTACCTCCATCCTCCAATGTCTTGGAACCTTTCTTGTTCTTACGACGTCGCCTATAGAACACCACGACTAATATAACGACGACTGCGATCAGAAGCGCCCCCAGGACAACGCCGACGATGATCCAGATGTACGTGTTGTCCTTTCCAGACGCCTCGACAACTTTCGCCTCGGTTGTGGCCGAAGGCGGTGACGTGGGCGGGTCTTGAAAGCACTCGTTCCCACAAGACACGTTGACAAACTGAGACCTGTACTCCACGGTGACGTCCTGATTCACGTCCCAGTAGAGCTGAGCAGAGTCTCGCGGCGTGGAGACGGTGCAAGCCGTAACAGTTAGCGTGTCATTGCACGGAGTCAAACCACGGGAGCATACAATCACTCCGTTATCTTGTAGATAGCGAGGGTCCTCAAGTTTGCAGAGGAATATCTCCCCAGTGTTATTTTCAGTTTTGGTTTGAGAGGTAATATTTGCCTGATGAGCATACGGAGTTCCAAAGATGTATTCTGTGGTGGTGATGCAACGAGATGCCTGGTCATTAGTGAGACAGTCTACCCATCTGGTGAGAAGAGAATTAGACGCAATTAGAACGTTGCTTTTTTCTAATTTATCTTCAGGAGGTATGTAAGATATAATCGTCTGTATTAGTAATCTAATGAGGGGGGTGGGGCTATCAGCATGGGGAGATCTCAAAATATTTCCGTTTGGCCCCTTCTATTGTTAGGACGTTTCTCTGGCCTGTAAATGGGGTTGGCTTTTGGCAGAGCATTAAGATATTTAAGGTGGATGGCTCGCTGTCGCCTTTCCCTAATGTACACATTAAGTAGATGTGAAAAAAACTGAGAGAATAACTCACTTTCCTCAACTACGCGGTGTAGCAAGCATTTTATGAAACGTGTTCACCATACTTTGACCAACCAAATGCTTAGCATATTATTTTTTTTAAATTTAGCTAAAAGCTCATTATTTTTAAATTTTGTTTGCTAATCCTGTGATGTAATCACACCTAAGTGTCATCGTGACTGAAAAGAAGTATTTTAAAAAATGAATTAGCACCCTATAGACTTACTCATTTGTGTATCTCAAGTGTTATCACAATTTCAACCTTGACCTCTTTCAAGGGCCTCTTTAAATAATAATTATATATAGCCATGACTTGAAACCGAGATATGTTTAGACTATATGAAGAATTATTTTTAACGAGGCCCAAAATATATGTTACAAAATATGATAACGACTTTAGGCTTAGGGATTTTAACCAGTAATTAATTCGTTATGTGTAACATAAAAAAAATAAATATTATTTGGAACCAAAACGCTTCCACTCCATAAAAAAAAGGAAATATTTTATTTTCTTTAGTTAGATCAATGCGAATTAATTAAATTGGACATTTTTAAAATAGGGCTATATTTAGTGCATGCATAATTTATGTGTGTGGGTGGGTGGGTGTGGTGTGTGTGTGTGTGTGTGTGTGTGTGTGTGTGTGCGTTAGGAGGGAGATACATAAATTTAAAATTGATTGGAAAAAAACAAGCATCGTTTCCAAATGGATCAAACCCAATATTTGGCTTTTTGCAATGAATCAAAATAATTGTCCAGTCATAGACATTGCCCTCCCCCCCCAAAAAAAATAAATAAAAATAAAATAATAATAATAATTCACCTACGCAAAATGTCAATTAGGTTACTAAAATTTCGCCTATTCCAAAAGGATAAAAAATTCAAGATCCTTGACGTCATCTCCTCGTCTCCACGCTGCGTTTTACACCATTTCTGTTTAACTCTTTTTTTTTTCCTTTATTAAAAAAAAAAAATTCGTTCCAATAGTAATCAAATTATTTTAGATTCGTTGACTAAAATAATAGATTATAAACTAGACAAGTACTTTCAAAATTTAGAAGAGAAAAATATACTTCGTACTTAAGGAAGAGATTCATCACCTAATGGCATTGTTTTAAAGTTATAATTAGGAAATAGGAGAAATAAATAATTATGTATTGTATCGGGTCGCTATTATTCAGCTTCGTGATTACAAGGACAATGTTTAGGCTAAAAAAAAAAAGACAGACAATGAAATTAATGTTTAGTCTAACTGCCACCTTCAGAAAACAAAAAAAAACAAAAAAAATACAAAAATATAAAAAAATACAAAGTTTCTCAATTCACAATGTAGTTCTTCCGTCAGACTCTGCCTTAGAGACACAGCCCGACTAAAATGCTAGTTTTCGTGACAAGGGCTCGTGTTCCCAAACTCACGGAGACTGAGAGAGCTGAACATGTCTTGCTCCACTATTGAGTTACTTCACGCGGCTCGACTGCAGTCCGCCTACATACTATCCTTAACTAGAATAAAATTGTTTTGACCGATCTCAAATTCTATATTTTGAGGGCCCACGATCAATGAATTGATCATTCTTGCTCGTATGTTTCAGAGGGGTTCGCGATGCAACTGGGGATGGTTTTCAAGGGGATACTTCACTGGTTACAAGGGCTACTCAGCGATGGTATTATGAACGGGGGATTGACAGGAGGCAATTAACACAAATGTGTCAATTGTTGTCGCCTCAACTGTTCTTTTGTAAGCTTGTTGCACTCCCTTATTGTCTTTGGCATGAATAAGCAGTTCCTGAAGTAAGTTCTTGTTTTTATGAGCCGAAACTGCCTGTCATGGCCTTGTCGCTTTCTAAGGTGAGGGTAGCGAGTTTCTGTTTAATGCTGGGGCAGTGATATAGAACATGACTGAAATTTTAATTAAACAACCCCTTTAAAATGATTTTTCTTAAAAATCCTTAATAAAATCTAATATCTAGCAAAGAGAGCATGGGACTCAAAATTTAAACACCTTTATTAAGAATTCCATTTAGTGCCCCCCCCCCCCCCAACTAAGGCTCGCAAACAAACATTTTGTTTCACGTCCCTGAACTATAATAATGTTGCTTTTACACCGCCGTTTGATTTCCCCCAAACATTTCAGAAAAGAAAACATTACGCACCAAATTAATGTACTTGAGATATTATTTTTTTTTTTTTAAAAAGTCATTTTTAGCACAGTTATCGGGATTTTAATTTTAATCTCCCCCTTTTGAAAAAAAAAACATGAAAAATAGGTTTTGGGGGATTGGTGTTTGGGCTTGGGGCTGAAAGTTTGAAAGAATGTGTTGTCTTCAGCGTTGAGTCTACGTGCTCGAGTTTCAGGTCGATAGCTTTACGGAAAGTGGGTTAATTAGCCGACCGAAGATTGTTGCCAACCAGATAGCCCACAAAGGAAAGGGAAGTTAATAATATGAAGGATTGTAAAATACTTACGATTCAATGAGAGTCTCGTCAAACAATATTGTATGGTTATACCAAGGCTGCTCGTGGATAGACACATTCAGCACAGGATCAATCGGCAGCAGTCTTCCAGCTTTTGGCGGCAGCGTAGTATTTACAGTTTCAGCATCTGAGCCGTTGCCACGAAGACCACCTGTTAAGGTCACGATGGAAGAAATTAATGATGACGCCGTGCCATTTGAATCCGCTTGCGTTGGATCACTCTGCGGAGAACCAGCACTTGGAGACAGTGTTTGTGTAGAGTTGCCGATTCCGCGTACGCTTTGTGTACTGTCACTCCACACCAAGGGTACAACCAATGCAGCGATGACAAGCGTTGTAAGCCAACGCAGGTTGGAATAGATATCGGCCATTAAATTATTTTATTTTACATTGTATTCCTTGTTAGCCTGAAGTCTTTCTAATCAGAGTGTTGTATTTCAGAGCGTTGTGTTGTATTTATATACGGAAGATAACAACAGCGTGATATCAACAAATGGCATGACGTCATTAAACAGCGCCTTAATTTAGCCTGACATCAAAGCAACGTCCAGAATACACTACACGAGCTTACATCAGTGTTGATTCAGTAAGACCGATGAGCCATGCATGATGCATGATGTACACCAGACATCAAGTCTATACTTGGTTTTAACTGTTTAAGTGATGGCTGTCTGTTAATAACTCCATGTCGTGCTTGCACACCATCCGAATGACTCTGCCGTCATTTTTTAGGCCCACTTTATGGTATACGTCCGTGGAGCTCTAGTGACGAAGTTAAACGTCGGGGGTTTAAGTTGTTATTGTTTCGTAACAATGGCATCGTGTCGACGGAGAGCAAATGAGTCTGCGACTCATGTCCCTCCGTCAGTGTCATTCAACAGTCTTCATCATTTTGAGGCTTGTTTAGCGGAAATATTTTTCAATTCTCGATATTTACACTATTTATTTACTCCTAGCCAACCCAACCACGTCAGAAGTGTAAAATACGGGAAGAGTTGCGAAATCAATAACTAAAAATTCCATTAGGCTCTCCATATATCAACAAAGGTCTACACGAGAAATATTATTACCGCGGGTGTCGTTTATAGTAAAACAAATGGTCTAAAACTGTTGAAATAATAGTTTGTTATTATTGTTTTTAAGCTGCACAAGCTTTAATTAAAGGACACGCGCTCTTAGAGAGGGGAAAACTGTATGACCTTTCTTTGACCGAGGGGGGGAGGGCTTGTGTGGGGGGGCGGATCACATCGAGTCGGGAATTGTAATTTTAGATTTTAGATTATAAAAGATTTCTTAGCGCATGTAGCAGGATGTAGACACTAAAGAAAGTCTAAATCGTCTATACACCTAGTCAAGATTGTGATCACACGCCAAGGTCCCCCCCCCCTCGTGATGTTAAAGTAAGTAGGGTGCATGCACCACCACGTCACTGCTAATAGTGCTGCAGCGTAGCCAGTGTTGTCACTGCTAACATAGGCAGTGGCGTAGCCAGTGTTGTCACTGCTAACATAGGCAGTGGCGTAGCCAGTGTTGTCACTGCTAACATAGGCAGTGGCGTAGTCAGTGTTGTCACTGCTAACATAGGCAGTGGCGTAGCCAGTGTTGTCACTGCTAACATAGGCAGTGGCGTAGCCAGTGTTGTCACTGCTAACATAGGCAGTGGCGTAGCCAGTGTTCTTGCCACCAGATGCAGGTCAAGATGTTCGCCGCCCCTCTTTAAAAAACCCACTAAATATATACAAAAGAAATGCCTCAGTTGACAAACTCCACCCACTTTCCTACGCCACTTCTAACAGCGCCTTTAAAACAGTACACACAAATGATTCCTTTAAATAAATCAACATTACTTCCACCCTTAAGTTGAACAACATTTTGTTACAGACCGATGTCAACAGTCCTCTAACGATGCCCAGGAAGAACCACCAAAATCTTGCCTCTCCCACCCCTCTTTAAATATTTGGTTGAGGATCCCCGTTAATTAAACTACCAACGTCAAAGTAGCACCGACCCATCACTGTGGGTGGTGATATGACCGTCTGAGTGCTTACGGTCACGGCGACCTGTGCCATCTGACACCAGCAATAGTCGGGACGTCAGCATAAACCCCCTGCAGGGTTAAAGGCATTGTTCATAGAGGCAGAACAGAGAGAGAGAGAGAGAGAGAGAGAGAGAGAAAGAAAGAGAGAGAGAGAGAGAGAGAGAGATAGACAGACAGAGAGAGAGAGAGAGAAGAGAAGGACAAGCGAGAGAAAAGAGAGATAGAGAGAATTAAAGGGAGAAGATTGAAATAGAGAAGAGTGAGAGAGAGAGAAGAGTGAGAGAAGATTGAAAGAAGAGAGAGTAGAGAGAGAGAGAGGAGAGACAGAAGAGAGAGGGCGAGGGAGAGGGGAACAGAGTCAACAGGTTTCATGTCTTAACCCCCTACCCCTAAATAAACCTAACATATTTTTGAAATCACATACAAATTATGAAAATCAATATTATCATTTTCATTTTGGATAAAGTTTCTCCATTGTTGATAACTCTGTTATCTTTATCGGTTCTACCGATGTTTATTAATAGTTTCAAATGTAGCATATGTAAAGCGCATGACCTTCCATATCAATTTGGCTCTAAGCTATAGTTAGTTTGTATTTGGACTCAACCTACTGCACTAATGATGTAGTGCATTCGTCGTATCTTAAAACAACAACAACAATAGAACTATCTGTTTATATTAACAACATTTGTTTAATGTATAAGTCACCACTTGAATGTTTTGGTAGGTGTTAGAGTGAATTGTCTACAATAACACAACTTGTGAAGTGTGTAGTGTATACAGTAGCACAACTAGTGAAGTGTGTAGTGTATACAGTAGCACAACTAGTGAAGTGTGTAGTGTATACAGTAGCACAACTAGTGAAGTGTATGTAGTAACACAACTAGCAGAAAACCATCAAGCTCTGTTTGGGATGATATAATTCTTTCGAGCAGGGACGCCCCCCAACCTCCCCCACAAAAAAAAAGGTAATTGGGGGCTCGACACTAACAAAGTTAGATTTTTATACTTTATATTTTCATTTTCACTTAAATTTTCGTTTACAACTACAAAGGTGTAAGAAAGTGGCTATTTTGTGCTTCCTTCTCACCACCCTACCCACAAAGACCCCCCACCCCCTCAACCATATAAAAGACTGATGTAAAACTTCCTTTTTTTTTTTTTTTGATTTTATTTTTTTCTCTTTATCTACTTGATGACGTAGCATAGAACTAACAAATTACCAAGGGAAGTTACAAAAGAAACAACCACCCAACCCTTTAATTACGATTGATGTACAAATAGATTTCTATCTCCACCATATAAAAGACTGATGTAAAACTTCCTTTTTTTTTTTTTTTGATTTTATTTTGTTCTCTTTATCTACTTGATGACGTAGCATAGAACTAACAAATTACCAAGGGAAGTTACAAAAGAAACAACCACTCAACCCTTTAATTACGATTGATGTACAAATAGATTTCTAGACACATACCTTAATTATGAGCCAAAAACTGGGAAGATCCATTCCATCCTGTTTTTGCAAAGTCTTCGATCATTATTGAAATTTTAGACAATTGAAAAGGGAAAAAAGAAATTGTTAACATTCAGTGCCAAAATTTCACCGAGATACCGTGAGCTGGTCATAGTGGTCAGACGATGGTCAAACGATTTTCTTCACTTCCCGTTTTTTCATTAGAAAATAATATGCAGGCATACCTTAAAAAACGCTTATTAAATCGTAGTAGTCTTTAATGTATCACAACAATTTTATCTACATAAAAGGCAATTGACGTGACGTATAATATACATGTTTAATTATATGGCAGCATTGACGAGTATGTGAACAAAACCATTATTAGGACACATGCATATTCTATGCGCTTTGTCTTGTTCGTAAGTCTGTATAATATCTCTGATTTCAACGTAAATCTTTCTCAGAATTCATAACATACATACAATAACAGAGCAATATGTGTACTTTCCTAAAGAGTCAGTAACATATTTACTCAACGAACAGACATCAATACAGCTCATAAATATGTAAGGAAATCATAGCACATGGCAATGTAATGGTAATAGAAAAAATAAATCAATCGATGTAAATATTCCCTATTAAAGCAATGGCGTGTTCACACCAAATTCACAGTGCGTCATCATTTGATACGCCCTCTTAACATCCTTTTAAACAACTCGTGGAATGCGCAAGGATCTGCGATTAAGCGGCGTATGATGAAAGATTTGTACACATGATGTACACTGGCTGGCATTGCAATAACACTGAAGTGGATTTTTCTATCATTTAAACAAGGTTTCACATTACTGTTCATTTACTGCCTGGCTTTATGAAGTGTTATGAAAGATTTTTCACCAAACAGTGAGATGTGTTATTAAGACTTCTTCACTAAACAGTGAGATGTGTTATTAAGACTTGTTCACTAAACAGCATGAAGTTTTATTAAGATTTGTTCACTAAACAGCATGAAGTGTTGTCTAGACTTTTTCACTAAACAGCATTAAGTGTTATTGAGACTTTTTCACTAAACAGTAGGAAATGTTATTAAGACATGTTCACTAAACAGTGAGATGTGTTATTAAGATTTGTTCACGCAACAGTATGAAGTGTTATAAAGACTTATTCATTAAACACTATGTTTTAACACATGCAATAAAATGTATGGTGTCTTTCCCTTTTTCCGAGGCAGTCGATAAAAAAAATGACATTATCACTCGACATTTATGGAAATACAAATTTGTGGGGAGTTTACTGAAATAGACATTTTTCCCTTCAGGTCATCCGACGAAAAAAATATGAGCATCTATTTAAGTATGAAAAAAATGTGCTTTTTAAACTACTACGCTAATTAAAGATAGCTTTGCATTGTTCAGCCCCAAAGCGTCGATGAGGCGCTGAGACTGTATAAGATATTCATTCTAGATCTACTCGTGAAATATTCAATTTACAATATTGAAGGTAATCCTAATTTCTCACGAGATAAGACTACGAGAAGTTAGTGTTAAAATACATTTTTGAACAACTTTTTTTTCACAATAGGAAACATTTTCTTAGTACTATAAATGGCATGTGGGAGAAAATTCAGCTTAGTCTTAATTTTACTCTATTGCAATCCATATTTTGCAGCTTTCAAACAAACGGCTCACAACATATTGCCCGTAATTAGTCGTAAAAAAAAAACTAATGAGCTTTACGGTCGTCTGTGGGCAAGTCGTAAACATGTGAAACCCGTTGAGAGTTATCCCCGCTGTCCTCATCGTTGGTCGCATACTTGGGGTGGGCGCCACCCGCTGTGTTGTGGTCGGCCGAGTCGTTTTTCGAGTGCAGCTTTTGACCGCTGGTGACGTCAATGGTAGCTTGCGGAGACGGGGCGGTGGGGGAGAGGTTCACACTGCTGAACTCAAACTCTGTGTCGTCACTGTTCGAGCTCTCGAGCCTGTGCATCGTGCGCTTTTCACCTATCCGCAGTCCCACGGGCTTGGACGTCCTGGGCTGAGAGCCATCGTTGTGGAACTGGACGGATCCCCTCTGCTTGCTGCTGCGTTGTCTCCACCACACGACGCCTAAGCCCATGGCGATCGCCACGACCAAAATGGACAGGATGACCCCAAGGATGACCCCAGAGTGACCCTTGTCGCCATCCCTTGACGCAACAGTGTCAGCTATTGGAGATTCAGGTGATGATGATGGTGTTGCTGGTGGCTGCAGTGACGTTGCCCCTGTTACTTGCGACACGTCTATGTTGGCCAAACAAGAGATTTTATTTTCTTCTCTGCAAGTGAAGCTAAGGACTTTTGGATTATAGACGATGCTCACTGTTTGATGAGAGGGCCAAAGGATCGCAACGGAGCACTGGTTCGTTACCATGGTGACACTTGCGCATGCCCCCGCGCCATTTCCGGAAGTACAGCTCTGACTGTCACGTGAGCACGTGATAGTTCCATAAAACCTTGTCGAGAGATTAGGTAGATCGTCGACCATACAGATGAAGTCGCCAGGGTTGGCAGCTCCAGTTGTCTCGGTAATACTGTTCACATGGTAGAAATAGTCTGAGCCCGAGGTGATCTTTAAGGCGACTACTGACGTGGTAGTTTTATTCTCGCACAGACCTCTAGACCATCTGTGAATGGATCATTCAAACGAGAAATATTTTATAGAAACAATTATTATTGATATAAAATAGGAGAAACGTGCTTATAAGTTATGAATGTTGATGATGATTATTTAAAAAAATAAGATTAAAAGACATATTTTTGCCCTATTTTTAATTTAATAAATTGTTTTGTTTTGTTTTTAACAGTCGATGACAATTTTTTTTTTTTTAAGAACTGAAGACAAAACATGAATTATTCAACTCTGAATCCAAAAAAAAAACTCAATGCAGAAATATTTTAATGTTTTTTTTCATAATTTAGAATAACAAAAGAAACACATTCTATTTATAAACAGTCCATCCGGTGGTTTAGATATAGTTTTCCCCCATGATTTTTGTAACACACCTTATCGAAAAAACATCTCAAACAAACTGTACAATTTTTTTGCTGAAAATGCCACCCCCAAAAATATAGGGATCAAAATGGCAGCACGGGGTGGAGCACGGGGTGGATCACGGGGTGGATCACCCCCATCCTGTCTGATCCTATCCAATGTTCGAGAAACCTCGACATCGCTCAATCAATGAGTCTGACTCAAGTTGCTAGATGTCTCGCTCCTTAATGGGATTATCAAGCATTAGGTAAATAGAGAAATAACAATCTATGTTGTAGTTAATATTCCGTTAAACGAGAGGGGGAAAAAATAAATAAGTGATATCCAAACTTATTTTGATACTAACATTAAAAATTAAAAAGAAAATTAATGAAAATTAAAACTGAAGTCACTGACCTATTTATGTTGTCCATTGTCAAATTTACTTTTGCTGGGTGGTAGCCGGCAGTCACTGCGGTCAACATCATAACTACTGTGCTACCTTGTGGTGGTATAGTTGGAGTGATTGTGGTTGTTGGTGGGGAAACCGTTGGTGTCACTGGGGACGAAAGACTCGTGGTGCTCGATGCGCTTTTGGTGGTGGCGCTGGAGGTTGACGTACCTGATACATCTGTACTGTTTGTAACGGTGTCATTCAGCGAATCTGTCGTAGTTGGTTGAGATGTCGACGTGACATTAGGCGAAACTGTTGTATTGTGTTCGAATGTCGTTGTGACATTTGGCGAAACTGTTGTATTGTGTTCGGATGTCGTTGTGACATTTGGCGAAACTGTTGTATTGTGTTCGGATGTCGTTGTGACATTTGGCGAAACTGTTGTATTGTGTTCGGATGTCGTTGTGACATTTGCCGAAACTGTTGTATTGTGTTCGGATGTCGTAGAGACATTTGGTGAAACCGTTGTATTTGTTTGGGTCAGCAATGTACTGTTTGGGGAAGTCGTGTTTGGGGATGTCGTATTTGGGGAAGGTGTTGCAACTGTCAGTGATGATGTTGTATTGTTGCTAGAAATTATTGTCGATGAAGTTGTAATATTTGTTGAAAGAGTTGGTGAAGTTGTGGTATTTTCTGGAGCTGTTGATGGTTGCGATGCTGTGTTAAGGGAGGCTCCGGAAGAACTCAATAAAGTTGCCGTCGTGCCACCAGAAGCGGCTGATGATGAAACTAATTGTGTCGTACTAGACGCAGCTGTCGTGCTGGAAGGAGCTGAAGAAGTTGAGGCTATTACTGTGGCAGTAGAAGCCGCTGGTGTTGCTGTTGAGTTTTTATCCTGGGCTTGTGTGTAAACCATCAAGAAAAGATTCAGAAGCGTGTAGGTAATCCCCGTTACCTTCAGTAGAGCCATTGTCTAATCTGAAGATGTAAGAGACACCTATGTCAAAAATAATTTATAGAAACATTATTTTTGTGGCAGGACAAAAAAAAATATTGCTGCTGGAAGAGATACTGATTGTCAGAAGTTGGGCTTTTTATAATGAAGTTTAGCTTTGAACTTGCGATGCTGTTAACGTGAGGATTTTTTTATAGTCTGACTGCAATCTGCACACTTTTTGTATAATTAAATCTGAAGTTATTGGGCTTCCTGCGGCATAGCAGGTGAGGTGTCGCGGGATGGAGCCTATCTGGCGTTGTTGGTTATTACTTGCATATCTAGCTGCGTGGGGTCAATTGGGCGGGTCGGGTCATATTTGAAAGAATTTGGAAATATTTTAGCTGGGGTGTATTGGTAACTAAACATGATGGCGATTGTTTTCCCTTTTTTATTGTGGACAATTTACCACACATGGGTACAATTATATATTTACACACAGTACATTAAATGTAATGACACATATTTTCAGTGTTTTTTTCTAAAGTCCTACAACAGTCTTTATCATATATTTAATTTAGTACTAGCTCCTAAAGGTATGTATAAATCTTTACCAAATATCTAATTTATCACCAATTTCTAAAGTCCTGCAACAGTCTCTATTATATATTTAATTTAGTACTAGCTCCTAAAGGTATGTATCAATCTATACATATATGTAATTAATCACTAATATCTAAAGTCCTGCAACAGTCTTTATCATATATTTAATTTAGTACTTTTATCATGTATGTAATTTATCGCTAATTTCGAAATTTATGCAACAGTCTTTATAATATATTCAATTTATTACTAGCTCCTAAAGTTATGAATCAATCTTTATCATATATGTCATTTAGTACTACTTCCTAAAGTTATGCATCAATCTTTATCATATATGTATAGACATTGAAACGTACCTACTTTTAGATGTTAATGTATTTGTATCACTTTCAAACACACACAAGAGGCACACATACTTAAGAATCAGGTTATAATGATTATGCTCATGTGCTCTAAATGTCTTCAGACAATGATTTCTAAATTGAGGATCGCGGGAGACGTTTAAGTACGTTTTTAGTTAAATTAATTCACCTCTCTGTGTGTAACAGTGAACGACAGACATCATGTCCAAACATTACACAGGGTTCCACTCCATTCTTAACTGTCATCGAAAATCGACACAGAACGTCGTATCAGCTATAAGAATGTTTAATAGCAACACGTGCAGCCAAAGTTATCATTCCGACACACATGCTGTCCCTGTCATAACTGACAGAAAATCTATGAACTACCTCTTAACAAATTTCACTAATGTCCAACATGGCATGAACCCGAGTTGAGTTTAATGACAAAGTAGACTGCACAAATGCTAGAAAATACACAGGCTTAACAAACACATTCAGAGGAACACAGACATTACCAGACACGCACAAAACACACAATCTACACCATAATGACACCATTTATCCAAGATACAAAATTGTTCTTCTAAGCAAAACATTTTTTTTTTAACTTTCACTAATGAATTTCTAAAAAGACCATCTTGGTACTGTGCAAATGACCAAAACACCGAATCGTCGTACTTACAGCACACGTGCACATATAGTTGAATAATTTTATGATGGGAAAAAACCCACATAAGGAATATTCTTCACACAGCAGACAGTTACCAACCTTTGTTATTTTACACAAGGATGATAAGCCGCTACTCCAGTGCTTCAAACGTCGTGATAAGTGCGCTTAAGAACACACCCCTCAGTTAAAAAAAGACACCAGCATGTGTGTCACGTAACTAAAAGCACATCAGTCTGCCCGTCACGATATCAGCACTCCCGAAAATAGCGTAGAGCACTCCAAGATCATGTACCTATGCCGCTTATTTTAGTAGCAATCATCGCACTGACTTTCTGCCAAGCGTATGAAACCGAATTTGGAATTCCCCCCTTACCCATGCCCCCCCCCCACATGATTTATCACGAGATAATCACTCAAGCGTAAAAAGAACACAACAACATCACCAACAGCGTGGATTGTGGATGATTGCGGACGATTTTTCTTAGGCCTAGAAACTTAACTTAAATACACCGGCTTCTAATGAACGAATGCACTTTGACTCTTTATTGTAAATCAACAAGAAGCTGAATACGTAGAAATGGTTTTTATTAGATCTCCTTCTCTCCGCTTTAGATAACCTGTTAGTATTCGCATTTAATCGTAGTGAATCTAGAGGAAGTTTTTACTGGATTTTTTTTTTTTTTACGTAGAAAACTGAATGGAACATAATTTGTCTTCAGTTCCCCTAGCTGTTTCCATCACCAGCACTCTATTGATTACCACCAGGGTGGCGATATTGACTGAGGTGAGGGGTCGAATATTCTTAGAATACACACACATATTTCAAATCGATATTTATTTTTGTGGGCCTTTAATTTAAGGGAGGGGGTGTTGTTCGTAACGGGGCCAGGTTTTTTTCCTTCTGACCCACAAATCTCACTCTGCATTCCTGAGACCCACACATAATTCACGGTCCACTGGTCAGTTTATAACAAGTGAATCGCCGAACTATAACCATTTCAGGGTGAACAAAAATGTGTTCACTTCCCGCTGGAGAATAAACCCTAGCAGACAGAAATCTACGGTGTAATGTTGCAAGTCAGGGGACCTCGACTTTGCAGCACGTCAGTTCCGCTTCGCTGAGCATTTCAGTGACTAAAAATGATAAAATATATCAGACGCGAAGAGACAAGTGGCACAGTCAAAATAAGTTGTTACATTGGGAGCGTTCACTATATCTCAGCTGCCTGTGTGTTTCTTTTCTGTAATAGAAGATTAGCCAACTAAAAAACAACAAAAAAATAAAACAAGGATTCTCATTTCTTGAAGAAATACACTCTCTAAAGCGGCTGTCGCATTGCATAATAATAATATAATTTAAATAAAAATAAAACATATATAATCAATCAAATAACATTTAAGAATATCATTCTCCTCGACAATTTTTCCTCTAAAGTTATGAATTATTTGTGACAGCACATAACTCCAATCCCGTATATGTAGTTATCAGTTTTTAATTCTATATATATTTTCTTCCTAATGAGTCAGTTCAATATTGTAGACCTTCATTTTCAAGAGTAATCATCACAAAAGTATAAAATATATTTATGTTTTCGCCAATTTCTTTCTTTTTTTTTTTTTTTAAGAAAACCTTTTTTTTTTTTTTTTTTTTTTTTTTTTTAAATTTAAAAATTTTTTTTTAGTTTCCTTTTTTATTTTTTTTTTTTTTTTTTTTTTTTTTTTTTTTCTAATTTTTTTTTTTTTTTTTTTTTTAAAAAAACTTTTTTTTTTTTTTTTTTTTTTGTTAGTTTGAAATTCAAAAATATCTTTTAAGATCCCCTTTCAATATGTTACATATATCTTATGTCATTTTTGTTTACACAAATCGTGAACAACCGCGTCTCATCTATGGGTGGGTCTAATGTAAAATATTTTTGAAAAAAAATCGTCAAAACCCGAGTCTTATAACCATTTGCGTCTTGTAAGCGCGAAAATACGGCAGATGTATTCATTAAAACTCTACAATCTGTTTTCATTTTAATGCATTCAATTTTCATAATTTGATGAAGAGGATATGAAATACGAGTTACAAAAAAAAAAAGAGAGAAAATGGATGGCATTTTCCTTTTGTAAACACAGCATTCGCTGAAGTGTCAGTTGTTAAAAATGTTCACGGTCTGTTGGAACTGTCGGTGTCTCTGTACTGGTTTACAACACAATCTTTACAGTATCTGTACTGGTTTACAACACAATGTTTACAGTATCTGTACTGGTTTACAACACAATGTTTACAGTATCTGTATTGGTTTACAACACAATGTTTACAGTATCTGTACTGATTTACAACACAATCTTTACAGTTTCTGTACTCGTTTACAACACAATGTTTACAGTATCTGTACTGGTTTACAACATAATCTTTACAGTATCTGTACTGGCTTACAACACAATGTTTACAGTATCTGTACTCGTTTACAACACAATGTTTACAGTATCTGTACTGGTTTACAACACAAGGTTTTAGGTGTCTGTACTAGTTTAAAACTCAATTTTTACGGTATTTGTACTAGTTTACAATGCAATATTTACAGTGTCGGTACTGTTTTACAACACACTCTTTACAGTATATGTACTAGTTTACAACACAATCTTTAAGGTATTTGTACTAGTTTACAACACAATCTTTCAGGTATCTGTACTGGTTTACAACACAATGTATACAGTATCTGTACTTGTTTACAGCACAATCTTTACAGTATCTGTACTGGTTTACAATACAATCTTTACAGTATCTGTACTGGTTTACAACACAATCTTTACAGTATCTGTACTGGTTTAAAACACAATGTTTACAGTATCTGTACTCGTTTACAACACAATGTTTACAGTATCTGTACTGGTTTACAACACAAGGTTTTAGGTGTCTGTACTAGTTTAAAACTCAATTTTTACGGTATTTGTACTAGTTTACAATGCAATCTTTACAGTGTCGGTACTGTTTTACAACACAATCTTTACAGTATATGTACAAGTTTACAACACAATCTTTAAGGTATCTGTACTGGTTTACAACACAATGTTTACAGTATCTGTACTTTTTTACAACACAATCTTTACAGTATCTGTACTGGTTTACAACACAATCTTTACATTATCTGTACTGGTTTACAGCACAATCTTTACAGTATCTGTACTGGTTTACAGCACAATCTTTACAGTATCTGTACTGGTTTACAGCACAATCTTTACAGTATCTGTACTGGTTTACAGCACAATCTTTACAGTATCTGTACTGGTTTACAGCACAATCTTTACAGTATCTGTACTGGTTTACAGCACAATCTTTACAGTATCTGTACTGGTTTACAACACAATCTTTACAGGATATGTACTGGTTAACAACATAATCTTTAAGGTATCTGTACTGGTTTACAACACAAGGTTTTAGGT